TGCCGGAAGGAAGGGCTTCCCTTTTCACGGGATACTATATGCTGCCTTATCTGCCTGGCCCCTGTTGACCAATTGAAGCTGATCCTCCAGGGCGGGGCTGGACAGCAAGTTCTCCCATCGCTCTACAGGGGAAAGGGTGTGGGTGGTGGGTGGTCTTGATTGAATTTACACTCACGTATGTTGTGGCGGAGGGCTCCTATCTCTTGGCACACTGGGCAGTTCCCACTGTATTGAGTGGGGAACATATGCGACTGAGTAAAAGGGGGTGGGGGAAGGACCCCGACTGAATTTTCCTATACGCTACCTGTTCCTCAGCGTTAACTTAGGATGCGGGGCTGCCAGTCTTCGCCTTTCTTTGCAGTAGAATGTGACTAGTATTTCCTATTAGGTGACCATGGGTTGGTCCTGCACCTCTTCCACGGCTGTGGCCCGGTAAGTCAGTGCACGGGCCTGCTGGTGAGGAAGTTTGTTGCCCTCTACAACGGAGGGGGCAGGTACCCATTCAAATTCTATGGGCTCCTTTGGGGGTCTTTTGTTTTTGAGCACCTGCAGCGCTTTTCAGGACACCAAGCTCGACTGGAAGCTCCGGTATGCTTGGTGTGAGTCGGTGATTACCCTGGTTGTGCCTGGCCATAGGTGACCCCGTCTTGTTCCGCAATCCTTCGATTACTCTTTTAGCAAGTGTATTTATGTACCAGTTTTATTTCACACACACTTGTTCTCACTGTTTATATTACTCACCAGCCCTGTAGGTATCAGCCACCTGTCTGTTCATATGTTGATCTTTTGTATTTTTCAAGTACTCCCCCCCCCCCCCCCCCCCCCACAAACACACACACACACACACACACACACACACACACTCCTTATGTAATGCTCCTGTTAAGGCCTTTAAAGTTACAATATATATATATAAAAAGCTGCCAGCAGCATTGGAAGAATTTAGGAGCGGGGGTGGGGGCAACCAGTTTGAATTCCTGTGCCGACGTGACGCCGCACATAACTTGAGCACATTATATAACATTCCCACCCATCTGATCGGCATTCCTCATCAGTTTTATTTCCATATGTTCAGTGACAATGTAAGCCAGTTTTAGATACTATACTTTTATAGTATTACTTTTCCGTACTTCTCACTGCAACGTTTTCATGGCGAGCATACTGTTCCCAGCTGCAGATCACGACAGCCGCACACAAGTAGCGAGCCTCAGTTTGGGCATCTAGGACGTAGTACGTAGCTGTTGCGCGTCTCGTACGCACTGCAAAATCTGCGTAAAACGATCCAAACTTCTTTCAGCAAGCGCTGTGACCCAAGGGGGTATCGGAAGTCGAGCGTGTTAGCGCACCGCAGCTCGTACGGCGAAAGGTCCCGCTGCCAGGGATCCCCACCCCTACCCGTTTCGATCTGTTGTGAGGCACAGACCCTGCAGGCTAGCAGTCGTACTGTAGTGGCTAAATTTTCTCATCTACGGCCTGAAACGGTGTCGCCAGAACCTAGACAGGCCGATCGCACGCTATTTAAAATAGTGAACGTCTTATTTTCTTCCGCTGTGCCCAAAATGACGACAGTGCATGCGATTGAAAGACCCAGCGGACAGGCTACCACTCTTGCCTTCGAATCGCTCGGGAGTCGGGCACCTGCATTTGCACCATGATCGAAGAACCAGAAAGAAGCGATGTCAAATCACATCGACACAGAATCACTCCAAGCTTCCTTGCTTGTGCCCTTCAGCTCTGCGCGCCGTGAGCCGTATCAATAACGCTAATTACAATTAATTAACGCCTGCCGCGCGCGTTCCGCCGCTCATACTGGATTGGATTGGATTGGATTGGATTTGGGGCTAACCCCTTTGTATCGGGGGATCTCAGCAGCGCTGGATCTAGCCTGGCTAGTAGCTACACTAGCCAAAAACGTAGTTGTGTTCTTTTGCTCTCCTCCACCAACACTCCAGTCTCCTCTTTGTCACCTCCACTGGCTGCGAGCTGTCGGCGTCGTACTGTTCGTCAACGCCCCGGAAACCCAGCGCCACCGCCATGTCTGGTTCGCACGTCACGTCCGGCTTTATACCCGTGCATTCCAGTATGACGTGTTCCGCCGTCTCGTCTGCTCCCTGCGCGCACATGACGCACTTCACATCCATGTCCATGTACTTCGCGCGGAAAACGCGGGTCCGCAGCATGCCGCCTCGGGCGTCCGAAAGCAGTGCACTGCCCTTGCTGTTGTCCATGAAAGGTATTCGCTTCACCTCCTGTTTCTCTCTGGCATACAGGGCCAGCGCTGGTTTCAGACGTGCTGCTTCCGCCCATCGCCGTGTCTCGCTCTCGATCACCCTCGTGCGGATGCTCTGCTGCAGTTCCGGCTGCTCCGCGGCTGGGTAGAGGAGTGGGCCGTTGACCTCGTATCGCTGTGCCAGCTGGCGCGTCCGTCGCACCCACCGGGTTGGGACGGACCGAAGATGTACATACTTGAAGACCTGTCTGGCCCAGCGCTCTTCGCTCATCCGGCTGAGGCGTCGCTCGAAGTCCAGCTTGGCTCGGGCCTCCCTGGCCTCAAAACCGGACCAGCCCATGTCTCCTTGGACGGCTTCGTTCGGTGCTGTTCGGCTTGCTCCCAGTGCCGTCCTTCCCACCTCCCTCTGTCGGACCTCGAGGTATTGCCTGGTACCTGATGACAGGCACAACACTGAGTTGCCAAAAGTGAGCCCCGGCACCGCCACCATCTTCCAGACCGCTCGGGTTACCTCGTATCGGTTATATCCCCAGAGGGCCCTGGCCGTTGCTATGCCCTTGTTCTTCCTGCTCTTCGCCTTGACCTTCGTCTCGTGCTCTAGGAGGTAGTGGTGTCCCTTCTGTAGGTTTACACCCAGATATTTGTAGTGGTCCACCCAAGGTACAGGATTGGCTTGAATGGATAGGTTGGCGGTCCCGTTTTCCTCTGCTGCCCCAAAGGCCATCAGCCCAGACTTGTGCGAACTGAAACTAAGCCCCAGGGCCTCTCCCATTGCACCACACTCGTTCATGAGCCCCTGCAGGCCCTGCAGCGAGTCCGCCATCAGCACCATATCGTCGGCGTAGATGAGTCCCGGGAGTTTTCCTCCCTTCCTTTCCCCGCCTTCCGAATATTCCAGTGAGAAACCCTCCCCACTCTCCTGCAGCCGCTTTTCGATTCCTGCTATGTACAGCATAAACAATAGCGGCGACAGCGGGCAGCCCTGTCTCAAGCCCTTGGAGCAGGTCACTGGATGTGTTGTCTCCTGCTGCCACTGTGCCACCACCGTCGTCCCTCTGTACACTTCTCGCAAGAGGTCTATCCACTCTCTGCAGAGTCCCCGCTCTTCCAGCTGCGTCCACAGTTTTCGATGTTCGACCGTGTCGTAAGCCTTGCTGATATCGAGAAAACAGAAGTAAAGGGGGCGGTTCTCCTTCTGGGCAATCTCGATGGCCTGCGTCAGCACGAATAAATTGTCCTCAAGGCGTCTCCCCCACCGGAACCCATTCTGCAGCTCCCCCAGGACTCCTTCTGCCTCTGCCCATGTCTGCAGTCGGTCTCGTATTATTTGTGTGAACACGCGGTAGAGTACCGATGTGATGGCTATGGGGCGGTAGTTTCCGAGCGTTGACTTTTGGCCTTTTCCCTTGTAAATGAGTCTGAGTCTTGAGGTTCGCCACTCCTCCGGCACCCATCCCTCCTTCAGGATCTGGTTGAGGATCTCGCGCAGCAGTGCTCTCGTCTCTGGCCCCAGCTCCTTCACCAGCCTCATTGGGATTTCGTCCATTCCAGTGGCTGTGGTTCCTCCTATCCTCTTGACTGCTCTATTTAACTCCCTCTCCGTGATTTCCTCTCTGCTCGGTTGCTCCTGCAGTTCGTCCTCCGTCTCCCCCTCCTCACTGTCCATTTGTCGGCTGTCCCCTGTGAACATGTCCCCTATCCACCTCTCAATGTACCGGTTGGTCTCTCCAGGGTCCAGTTCCTTTCCCGTTGCATCGTCTTTGATTACAGCATCCTCCCTAGGTCGACCTGTTTGGCCCTGTACATGTCGCCAGAACTTCAGTGGGGCCTCACGTCCTGCCTCTCTCAGTTCTTCCAAAAATCTCTTATCTACCTTGGCCATTTTGCTTTGAATCAAAGCTGTCACCTCTATTTTCCTGCTCTGGTACTCCCTCCATTCTCTTGAATCTTTCTGTAGGGGGGCTTTCTTCTCCTCCTTTCGTTTTCTGATGGTCCCTCGCAGAGTCCTGTTTGCCAGTTGCCTTCTTGTAATGGCCTCCTTCACCTCCACATCCCACCATCGTTTTCTCCTCCGCTTCCCTCGTGTCGGTCGTTTCAGTTTTTCCAGGTGGTCCTTCCACCACCGCATGAGGTTCCCGTACGTCTCCACCTGCCTGGTTTCCACCTCTTCCTCCAGTTTCTGCGCAATGGTTTGTGCTTCTGCTTGCGTTATGTGGTGTGGTCTCATAGGTTCGCTGACTCTCTTTTCCGTCGGCTTTCCACCGAAAGTGATCAGCAATCTGTTGTGATCACTTCCCAAGCTCTTGTCGCCTTCCTCGTCTATCTCCATGTAGTTCAGCTTTTCATACAGGTCCGGAGACACCAGGCAATAATCGATTGTAGAGCTCATCCCTCTGGCCGTCCATGTCGTCTTTCCTATGCATTTATCTTGTGTGTTGACGATTACCATATCCAGGTGTTCCGCCATGTCCTGCAGCAGCTTTCCATTACCGTCTGTTCTCCCATCAAACTCCTCTAGGTGTGCGTTGAAATCGCCTACCATAATGGTAGGTCTCCCAATGTTGTGATAGTCTTTTTCAATGCACTTGATTAGCCTGATGTTTGTCTCCCTGCTGTCTGCCCCCGTCCACAGGTACACCACTGCCACTGCCACCTTTCTCCCCGCCAGTGTTCCCGTCAACCACATGTGCTCTCTGCACTCTGGACTTTCTCTCTGCCAGCCTGGCCCGCTAAAGCATCCTACCCCCCCTCCCCTTCTCTCACTGTCCTTTCTGTTTACCCCATCCCAAAAAAGCCCTTCGCAATCCGGGGGTCTTTCTTCATCTCTGAGGTGGGTTTCTGTGACTGCGAACATTCCAATCTTATCCTCTTGTAACATCTGAAAGGCCTCTTCCCATTTTCCTGCTTTCCTTCCTCCCTGTAGGTTTAAAAAGGCAATCTTCACTTCCCTCTTTTTCTTTTTTGCTCGTCTGTTTTTCCTTCTTTCCCGGTCAGGTGCCTTTCTGTGTTTTCCGCCTCTCGTGTTTTTGCAGGCACCATCCCTCCTACTTTCTCTTCTTAGTGGGCATGTCCCTGTGGGGGACACATCCTCTGGAGTTGTTCCTCGAGTCGCTGTAGTCTCTGGTCCAGAGTCAGCCTGCCTTCCATTCTTTCCTGTCGCCTTTTCATCGGTGTCACGCTTTTCCCCTTGCATTTCAGTCCTAAAAAACTCTTTAGTCTGTTACCCAGTGCTTGTCCCTCTTCAATTGCCGCATCTCTGTTGTAGCAGCCATCTTCCATGTCGTTTCCCGTTCCTGTGTTCTTTACCACCTCCACCCTCGGTCCCAGCTGCTGGCTGATCTCTCTTGATAGCCTGTTCCACTTGGCGCACCTCTCTTTGAGTGGGTCCCCCCTGTCTTTGATTTCTGGGACTTCATACACCATAAAAGAATGTTTCGGGGCTCTCGTGGTCCAGTCCTCAAGCCGTTTCCCTAGCTCCGCTGCCATTTCTTCCACCGATTCTTCGCCTTGCACGTCTGTCACTCCCGCATGTATGACCACCACTCCTGCCTCTGCATCCCATATTTTCCCATCCCTCTCTGCTCTCTCGAGTGACTCTCTCAGTTGTGCTCCCGGCTTAGTTGCAAAGTGAACTTTCTTGTCGTAATCTACCACCTTCAGTGTGGCTCTCTTTATCTTGAAGGCATTGGTGTCCCCTACCACTAAGACTCTCTTGTCCACCTTCTTCTCTTTGTCCTGTTTCTTTGTCCCGTCATCTGGGTCTGCTCTCTGCCTCATGAGGGCCTCCTTGTAGTTCCTGTGCTGGCTTCTTTCTGTTTGACCTCCAGTCGTCTGTCTCCCCTGCTCCTTATCCAGATCTCCACTTCCCGTCCGTTCTTGGGAAAAGCTAACTGTCTCTTTCCCGTCTGTGTGGTATGTCATCTTTTCTTTGACCCCGTTTCTCGGTTCCAGCTGTTGCGGCGCGTTTTCAGCCCCGTTGACCGTCATTTGCTCTGGTTCACATGACTTCATCCATTCATTAAACACCTCCCCTAATTTTTCTCTCTTGTTCCTTTCCTCCTGCATTATTGCATTCAGTTTCTCTTCCGTCGCTATTCTCAAGGTTCTCTCTTCTTCGAGCTTCGCCAACATCCTACTTTCTATGGCCGCTCTCTCTGTCTTTGCCTCCTCCAGCTTCACTCTCATTGCCTCTCTCAAGGCATTAACTTGCCGTTCGATCTCCTCCTCCAAGGTGATTCTTCTCACCTCATTTTCCTTGCACTCCTTACATTTGTATGTACTGTTCTCCGCCTCCGTGCATGATTCGAACGGTGTCTCGCTGATATCCACCCATTTTTCACAGCCTTCGCACTCCACTGACGCCTTGTCTCGCTTTCCCCTCTTCTTTGCCTTTTCCATTTGACTTTGACTGGTTGTCATTGTTTTCCTCCGTGGAGTCATGATGTTAGGTGTCTCCCTTGCCTGGTTTCCGAGACGCCCCAGCCACCACCACCAGATTCCGTCGTTTAGCCGTGCCCCGACACGCCGTGTCGAAAAAACACTTGCGCCCTACGCCCGGTTGGTAGGCCTAACGGGTCGTTGAGCGCTCCGGAGGAAGGGCTTCTTGATCGCCCCCACGGTAACGGCTCCGCGCCGAAACCAAGTGGTCCGCTGGTAGCGGTCTCGGTATGCCTATACACCTTCTGGAAGATATCCGTCGCACTGCCACCTTTACACTAATCGGCAAAAAAACATTTTACCCCGGCGGTTTCAAATCGCCGCCGACCCGACCAGACCCGAAACGGCGAGTTGCAAACAACAAACAATCAGGGTGTTATGCTGCAGAAAGTTACTTCCGCCAGTTTTAGCGAAATGCGGAGCTCAACCCCTGCTCAGCCGACGTTATTCAAGGTATTGAATTTGGCGTAAGGGTAGTGTGTTTGGGGTATGCGAAAAAGACTACGGTATTGACTATGGCGTACGCCGAAATGACTACGGTATTGATTTTGGCGTACGCCAAAACCACTACCGTAGTCGGAGCGGAGGGGTAGTGAGATCGGCGTCCTACACCGGCGCTATGCGCCATTTAAACACGCGGTTACTTTTCTACTAGACTGTAGCTATGTGGTGTGGTTCCTTACACATAAATGGACTATGTACAAACAAAGCTAAAATAAAATTGGGCGGCTGCTAGCGCCACCTAGTGAGTATGCGGAAAACTACAAAAATGAAGGACATTTTGTCCTTCATTGACACGCTGTGACACGCTCGAACACGGGCGGCAGCATTCCAACACCACCAACACATACATCACAGCACATACCACAAGATCAACATACAAGCATCTACATACACAAACAACGAACAGACACTGACGACCCGACACTCCTACTCGATTACGAGAGAAACTCACTCGGTATATATAGCAGACTTTTTGTCTCAAACGAAGGTCCGGTGACCCCCCCTGTATTTTACATGAACGTAACGATATTACACAATTATTACTTATATAGTACGGCGACATAAATATAATTTGGGAAGGTACACATTTCTCTTAGTCTAGATTATAGCTAAAAGACACCCTATATTTAAAAAAAAATGTTTCGAGCTAGCCAAAGTGTAGCAAAATCTGGTTTCGTTTTCGGAAGTTCGAGCGCTCAAGGCTGGAATGCGCTAGCGAAGTGTGTGCTTGCTTCTGTCAAACTATAATCCGTTGTATGACGCTCTCAAAGCTGCTGGCTGCAGCCCCCGTCTTGGTTTAGGGTTTGATTTACACGCGCTCCCGTGGAAATGAAATTATGCGCGCTCGAGTCGATATTATTGACAGCGGGAAGTATAAACCGAATGTAAACGATTTTGCGAGCGACGAGAACAGCGACGGCGACCCGCTTCGCTGACGCTCGGTCACTCGCGCGACGACGCAAGTCGCATGAAAGCGGAACGATGTTTTCTAGAAATCCAAAAACCGAGTGACGCGACGAGCGATAGTAAGAAATCTTCGTAATACGTCGCTGACTCGTCGCTGTCGCCGTCGCTCGCTAAATCGCTTTATGCAGTTCAGCCTTTCTCACGCTAGTGCCGACCTGCATTACCCGCTGAGCCCAAGCAAGCGATAAGGATATTCAAATATGTCACAACAGTGGCGTGCATTCGCTAAGAAAGCATATATCTCAAATTCCTGTAGTTTGACGTCGGGATCTTACTTGTTCTGCTGTCACCTTGGCGAAACGGTCACTAAAGAGAAACTAGTCAGTTTGTTTTATCAGAAATTATAAAAACCTTATCTAGCCACTGATATATGCACAAAAGCACTCTGGAATTTCATATAAATAGTTTAGAATAAACTGAACACAATCGGTAACTTAATTTTCCAAGCATAATAATAAAAAAAAAATCTTAGAAAACAATGTATTTTTAAGGTGTTTCAAATAAAAAAAAATTGAAAAAGGAGCCTTATTTCAGCTTCACTATCACGTAAATACTTTGGGAAAAAATATCTATTGAGAAGTAGGTTTTGCAATCTCTAATTTGCTTCTTTCAACTTTCCAGTTACTTTATGCATACTTGCAGATTGTATCCTGACAAATCTAGACAAAATTGTATAAAAAGTAACAGTCTATATAAAATTTATAGCTTAATGAAATTCACATATGTTTCATAATGTTCAATCTTGAATATGAGTTTTAAATTTCACATCTATTATTACAAATGATTGAATTACATGCTGCTTGATGCATGCTGTGCCGCCCCCCCCCCCCTTTTAAATATATATATATCCTGTATATTTGCTGGTTAGTTGTTGTAAACCTCTTAATGTCGTGTTATTTGTTTGTTGTTGTAGGTGTGTGAATGCATATGTTGTACCCCACTCCTACTTGGGCCTTCAATGGCCAGTAGTCTAAATAAAATTAAAAAAACAAGTGAGCAGTAAAAATCTGGAAGACAAAAGTAAACACAGAGCCGTGCAAAAAGGCATTCACTATATGAAACAGATACAGATATGGGCCTCTGGCGGTCCATCGGTTCAGCCTCCACACCGCCTAAAGACGGCAGTGTTGCAATATTACGAACCAGCGCACAGGTAGACAGTTACCAAAAATCCAAACACAAAAAACTCACATCAGCACTGTGCGAGTGCATATTTTTGTGTATTTGGATTTTGAGTAACTGGTCTACCTGTGCGCTGGTTCGTAATTATGCCGTACCAACTCGCCCAATCTGCCGTATTAATAGTGTTGCAAAATACTTAGATCAACTATAATGCTAATGACTGCAGTGTATAAAAGCAAGCTACTCGTCGGAACGAGCTTGACGGTACGAGAATAAAGAGAATGTTTTCAGACACACTTCAGATGAAAAGAACAAATGCTCAGATCACACATGCCGCGGGTGTCCAAAATTATCCATCATGTTGAATATTGTTTTGGTTTTTTTAATTCTAACAGAAGACAAACATCATTATCGCGCAATCAAAATGAATACTTACGAAACACCTAAGTCGCAGTGTAAGTGCTCATCGCTGAGCTGCGGCTGTGGCATATATGTATTTATTTAAAAGTGCACCGATGATAAAACCTTCAGGTTTGGCAACAATACCGAGATTACAACGGTTGTTGTCCATTATAAAATACAAAATAAATAAAAAATACCGGAAACAATGCAAGGTACAAATCTGCACAACAGGCTTCCGAATTCAACTACTTCGTCGTACTGGAGTTTGTTACAGTAATAACAGCTTTGGATGGGCTGTGAGGACAGCATTCACACTGAACTGGGTGCCTTGGTGACTATCACCAGTGTTGAGGAGTTGCCACTCCAGAGTTGGAACGATTCCGCACTTCCACAACCCTGGAATCGAATGCAAATAAAATGGTGGCAGCACTGGAATGGAATGGGAATGAAATTAGTAGTTACATTTTGCCCAGAATAGAGTAGGAATGGAATAGGCTTTGTTCTAATGCGAGCTGCTTAGATGCCGTCAAAGGGGCTTTCGAAATGGCATTATTGCACTTAGGTAACTGACGGTTTGGTTATCTGACTGCTTATGTTCTTTCGAGGATGAAAGTGGCAACCCCAGTGAAGCAACCCAAACTGTAGAGTTGTAGACTGACAAGGGCAATTTACTCGATCTTAATCCAGGGTAAGGGTTTTGCACCTCAGCGTTCCAAAAACTACCCGTGCCCAGCACTTTTCAATCTGTGTTGTCACGTGACACGACCCACCGGAGTAACTCGGATCTATTTGGGTAAGATTTGGAACACAGCCAAAGTGTCGTTCCTGGAGCTGCGAGATGCAACCATAAGGCTGTTGGGACCATGTGTGATTACAGCACCAGTTGCAGGCCACCAGGCAGGGACAATGTCACACCGCCCGCACTTCGTTAATACACGTGACTCCTCACTTATTATGTATCTCGTAAAAGTGGAGGACATATACGGTTCTTTTGTGGAAAAGATGGGCGACTTAGTTTTCCTCTCTGTTACGAGGCTTTTACACCTGGTGGTGCGATCAATATCTGCAGTGCCCCCATACCAATTGCCACTAGTGCTATCCCAGTTAAAAATGTCCATTGGGTCCAATTGGTTTCTGACAATTGGAACCAATGGGGAAAACTGTTTGTGATTTTGGACTCCTCATTGAAAAAATCCCAATTGGTTTCAATTGTCGAAACCCAATTGAGCATTGCCAATTGGAACCAATTGGGCACGACCAATTGGGAAAACCGTTTGTGATTTCGGACTCCTCATTGAAAAAATCCCAGTTGGTGCCAATTGGGTGTATACCCAATTGAGTATAGCCAATTGGAACCAATTGGGGAAACCGTTTGCGATAACTGAACAATGAAACTGTAGTAGATGATGTTTGTCATTTTTATTGTAATTAAGAGATTCATTCATTCGGCCTCCCCTTGCTTGGCCGTCGTCCTGTTGTTCAGGTGTTGCCCTCTGGTTCGGTAGTTTCCTCCTGGTCCAGTTTTTCCTCTGCTGCTTTCCTAGGAGCATCAATATAGGTGAAATTATTACATGACTTATATAAGTCTTCATATTTAGCTTGCAATAAGGAACAATGACGTTTCCCCCTGAATAAAACAGGAGTTTCTTTATTTATAAATCAAGTCTTCGATGTGCAGCAAAAGGCGGCCAAAGCCACCCGAAAAGGCTTTGCAGGCGGCATTTCGGACTCGTCAGAAATATGGATCAACTAAAATTCTATTTTGCTCGAAGGAGAGCATTCGGCAATATATGCAGTACATCCATAATCGATGGGCAAATTCTGGTAGAAGATAATTAGGAGCATGTATTTTTACGTTGCAAAGAAAAAAGGAACTGTGACCATATTGACTAAGTCCGATTCCATGCTCACGATACTTAACGACTAGGTGTTAGGGCAGTTAATATGCGGTAACTATACACATACTGCATAGTTGCAGCGTTTATAACATAGTTATACATTCTGCATAATTACAGAGGTTTGAGAGAGACATTTCTGGGTGTTCCTGGGTGTTCTCTATTTTAATAAAGTTTTCCAGCAAAATTTTATATCCAGCTCTAAAGTGGCATTGAGTTACACAAAAACATGTTTCCAAAGTACTGCGTCTTTCTGAGAAAAGAGAATAGTGTTTTCCTCACCGCAAAAGTGAACTACAGATCGTGGTGCGCTCAAACTTCGCCAGATACGTAACCCTAGCCTTTGGTGCAACATGCCAAATTTTTGGCATATTGCAACTCTAAATCTATGGCAAGTCAGTGCTTTCAGGAATCTATAGTATATTTAAAAAAATGCTTAAACACTTTTTTTTTCGCACTAGCACTTGATTA